CCCAAAAAAAAAAAAAAAAAAAAAAAAAGAGTACAAGTTAGCCAGAAAGGAGAAAAGCAGGGCCATGTCCCTCCGCAGGAAGTCCCCAAGGATCACAGAAGGGCCTGGATTCTGTTTCCTTAGAAGCACAGTTTCCAATTCTACCCCTGCCACTCCCTAGCCAGGCAACCTTGAGCAAACCACTCCACCTACTTTGACGCCTCAGTTCCCTCACCTTGAAAATGGGGGTGATAATTGTACCTACTTGTAAAAATTAAAAGAAATAATGGATGGAAAATGCGGAGCACAGTGGCTAGCCTGGAGTAAACAACTCAGTGAACAAGTATCATTTTCATCATCATGGCCATTATGTCCATCCTTAAATGCCACCAGTCAACTCAGTCCAGTATGTCTACTTGCATCAGCAAACAGACCGAAACCCTAGCCTGCCAGCAGCAGGACCAGGCTGGAGCAGGAAAAGAAACCGTGTTCACAGAGCAGGGCCTGGGCTGCTCTGCCTCTGCCCTCTGCCAAGGTGGGAGGCTGCTGGTCTCCCAGCAAGACAGCGTCCCGCGAAGTATGCTGAACTCTACTCCTCCTTTCTGGGGGCCCAGTCTTCTGCCTCGGGGTGGGACAAGGCCCTCAATACGTGTCCTGAAACCTTCTGGGAGTTTCTCCCTGGAGAGACAATGGTAGGTGGGGGTGAGTCACAGTAGCAGGAGAACCCTGCTACTTTCATCACTGCCTGACTGAGTCAGCACCCCCAGGCCAAGGGGATGCCACTGTCTGGTCCCCACCACTGCCACCTCCCCTGAGTGAGTCAGGGAGTAGAGGGCCACACCTTCCTCCTCCTTTCCCTGGGTCAGGCCAGTTTGGCCAAGTTTTGCCTGGGCAGGGTCTGTGGACAGGCTGGGACCAGCCAGAATTCTCCAAGCTCTGTGCATTACAAGCCTGCTGATCCTCTGGTTTTTAATTTGGGGAATTTTACTACCAGCAAGAGAAGTGGGTTCTGGGTCCTTGAAGCTGCCAATTCACTGTGTAACCTTGAACTCTTTTTGACATCCGTCCCATTTGTACAATGAGAAACAGTGGGGTGGGCACCTGTCCAGCAGGCCATTCAGGCTAGTCCCTGTGCCAGTACCTCTTCCCACCCCACTGGCTCCCCAGCCCTGGTAAGGGCCCTAGGAACACCCTGTAAGGTGACAGTTCCTCCCCAGAGAAGGGACAAAAGAATGATGGCCCGAACCCTGGGCAGGAACACATGCCACCAGCTGGGCACCCCACCCTCCAAGACACAAGAACCTAGTCAAAACTACTGCTGGGCTGTGGCAGGGCTGGGTAGATCCAGGTAGAAGAGGGCTAATCCAGAGGCCTACACATCCAGGTTCTTCTTCTAGCTCTGCCCTGATTTATGGGGGGTTTTTTGGGGGGTTTTTTGAGTCAGAGTCTCTCTGACGCCCAGGCTGGAGTGCAGTGGCCACCGCAGCCTCAACCTGCTGGGTTCAGGCGATCTTTCTGTTTCAGCCTTCCAAGTAGCTGAAACTATAGGCGTGTGCCATCATGCCCAGCTAATTTTTTTTTTTTTTGAGTTAGAGTCTCACTCTGTCACTCAGGCTAGAGTGCAGGGCATACTCACAGCCACCATGACCTCGACCTCCTGGGTTCAGGCGATCCTTCTGCCTCAGCCTTCCAAGTAGCTAGAATGACAGGCACTTGCCACCACACCTGGCTAATTTTTTGATTCATTGTAGAAATGAGGTCTCGCCATGTTGTCCAGGCTCATCTCGAACCCATGGGCTCAGGTAATCCTTTCACCTCCGCCTCCCAAAGTGCTGGGATTACAGGCGTGAGCCACTGCACCCGGCTTTATTCAC